CATGCTGCAAGACCAAAACATTGCACAATTGTTTAAACAGCTTGTAACACCTGTTACTTACCACTTTATTGTATTATTTTCTCTTATTAAAAAGTAACACGTGTTACCAAACTTGTCTTATTTCACTTTTATTTGTCATCCAGCCGCTAAATATGCGTACGTGACTTTGACGTGTACACAGTAATCCAATACGAGTTGCAAATGTTGACTTCTTACGGTTAATTTTAATATTTACCTCTTAAATGCGCGCTCACTGCAGTCTGCCCCGTTGAAGAGCATGGACAGTGCAGGCTGCGTTTGGAACTATGGAGGGGTACATGAACCACGTGACCGCTCCCGCGGCGAGATCTGAAGTTGTCGCCACTCTGTTTTAATCTACTGCTCTGTGGAAGATTAGAGACGCCAAGACCTGCCTTACGTTGCTTCTGATTGGTTTATATTGCATGGTGCCTTGTGTGGTTGGTTAGATTTAGGCCCCAAGGTCGATGGATTGGTCTGGGATTGGTTATCTCGGTCAGTCAAACAGAGCTACGGCAAGCCAAGTTTATTATCATGAAAAAAATAAGAGTATTGAATGGGGAAATACAAGCGTGAGAAATGTGAAGTGTGGCGTGTGAATGGGTCAAATTACGTGACTGTCACACTCAAAGTGTGACACTTGTTAGCTCTGTGGACTTATGTTCTTAAGTATCATATCACTACAATATGTTAATATATGTTAGATGCTCACATGAAGCAGCTTAAGTTGTTTTATATCTAAAAAGTCAGAGAATAAAAAAAGACGCTAATAGCGCTAGCATCCCTATGGGTTTTTCAATGTAAATTAGCGTCATGCTAATCGCTAGCATTCGTGTGATATTTCAGTTGTATCTTAGCCTGCATTCATGATTTACATATATTTAGCCTACATGACTGCTGGATTTACAGTGTTTATGTGACTTCTGTTAATAAGAGTTACAGCTTTAGTTGTGATATGCACCTTTATTGTATGTTACAGTTTTACAAAGAAAGAAAAAAGGGAAAAAGGATCCAATCAATTCCAAAAAATGTTAAAACGGCGAGAAGCTAGTGAAGGCAGAATACCATCCTTCAGATTTTCAGATAAAGGTCGCTATTTTGCCTCCATATCACGGCATCTGTAATCTTTGTGAAAGTGCGTAACGTCAATCTCTCACCTGACTGATCGTCTTAAGAGAGCGAACATCCATCCCAGAGCAGCAGAGAGCTGGTTTGATTTTTCATTCCCCCGTGAGGTTTCATGTATCAGAGGTCATGTTCCTGTGATCAGAGACTAACTGTCATAACAGACGCTCTAACCTGCAACCATTTGACTAACAGGTGACACGCTGAACCCACTTAGCTACCAGGTAGAATCGACATCTGGGTTGTGTGTATGTGTGTGACACTGACATGCAGCAAATGAAGATAAATCCATGTCCGGCCCTTTCATCTGCAGTAATTGATGCTTGCTGCAAAGCAGTGAAAGGTTAGGGGAAGCCCACTGCTGCTAAAAATCTACATCAAATATTAATGAAGAGGAGCCTGTGGATGATTCACTGTGTGTATTATTAATGATGACACTGTAGAGTCAAACCAAGTGAAGGACACAGTCTGAAGACAGCAATACTTGCGAAACCTCAGGTTCAATTACGGACACTTTATGAATTCATAGAGTCCCATAATTCGGACAGCCCAATTAGCTTTCACCGGTTCTTTTCTGAAAAGCAGAATATTATGAATTCATGTTAAAGATGTACAGACAAAGTCTGCTGCTGATCCGCAGGGAGAACATTACAGGGAACAGGTGGTAAAGAGAAAATCTAGAGAGATTTGTTCGTGTATCGTCTGGTACATACTGTTTCTTAGAACAAACACCACGAATATGTATATATATATATATATATATAAAAAATGTGATTATAGGAACAATGTGCAGCTCAGAAAAAAAACAGCAAACATTTCAGATTAAAGGATGCTGGATATAAAAGAGACTGAGCTCTGTCTGATGGATTTATCAAAGCAGATAATGTTTTCTCATCCTTTTGGGAATGTAAGTTGGACCAAACTTTAGAAACTTTTCCCTCTCCTCGCTCCATTTTTAATAATGATCAACTTTTCACAGTCTGGCAAACAATGACTGAGTTTGGTTTCTTTAGAGCAAAGACAGAAATGAGGGTAAGCTGTTTTTATTTCATCACATCATTTTATCCCACTCTGTCTTTGGTCTTTTGTCATGGGGGAGAAAATAATAGCCAATCAGGATGGGACCTAACTGAGGGGAGGGAAGATAGAAGGACAGGAGGAAGAAAGGGAGGGACAGAGGAAGGACAAAGGGGAGAAGGAAGAAAGGATGGGTAAGAGGGAGGAGAGAAGGGAATAAGAACAAAAGAGAGAAGGGGAAGGAAGGAAGGAAGGAAGGATAAGAGGGGAGAAGGAAGAAAGGAAAGAAGGAAAGAAGGAAGGAAAAAAGGCGGAATGGAGGATGAAAAGAGGGAGGGATTGAGAAATGACAAAAGAAATTAAAAGAGGGGAGAAGGACAGAGGGAAGGAAGGGATGGGGAGGACGAAAGGAAGGACAAAAGGAAAGGATGGAGGAAGGAGAGAAGATAAAAGGGAGAAGAGGAGGGACTGAGAGAGGAAGCAAAAGAAAAAGGAAGGTAGGTACAAAGGATGGAAGGTAGGAAGGAAGGACAGAAGAAAGGAGTGAAGGAAGGAACGAAGGAAGGAGGAAAGAACGGCAGGGATGAGGGAGGACCTAAAGAAGGAAATAAAGGAAGGAAGGAAGGGGGTGGAGGGAGGACTAAAGGAAGGAAGGGGAAAAGGAAGAAAGGAAAGGAGGGAGAGACGGGGGACAGAAGGAAGAAAGGGAGAGTTGGAGGGAGTACAAAAGAAAGGGAGGAAATGAGAGAAGATGAAACAAATAAAGGAAAGGAGGAATGAAGAAAGGAAGGAAGCAAGGAAGGAAGACAGGAAGAAAGGAAGAAAGAAAGAAAGGGGGGAGGACAGAAGGAAGGATGGAAGTAGGAAGGACAGAAGAGAGGGAAGAAAAGGGTGGAAGGGAGGATAGACAACAGAAACTCAGGAATTGACGAAGGAAACAAGACAAAACTGGAGTGACACATTCCTCTATAAACTCTCGGGTTCAAGTTGCTCCTTTTCTCTTGTAGTAAAACATGCTTTTATTTTGAAATCAGTTACACACCACTTCTGTACCTGTAACTAAACCATAAAAAAACACATTACTGCCCTTTACTTTGCTTCTTAAATACACTCAGAGGACCCAAAGTCACAAACACCGGCCACTATTTTGAGCTCCGTCTGCTCCCCGCCACTGTAATTAATTTCACAAGTCAGTGACACAGATATTGAGGTATGTCTGTTAAAAACCAATTTAATTATCCACCTAATCTAACCAGATGGAGGAGAAATCAATGGTTTCACATTACTGCAAAGCACGCAGAGGAGATATTTGGGATTCCTCGCAGATCCCCGAAGACAGAACCAATTACGGGTTATCTCTGTTGCATTTTTAAAGGTTCAAACAAACAAACTCCCTTAAGCCGACAATTGACGAAATATGGCAGAAAAGTAAGAAATGTGATAATTGACAGTCAGGAACAGAGAGTGGATGAAATCTAAAGGTGTATATTGTACGTGCAACCTGTTGCGTTGACTTGTGGGCCTCTTTAGTTTGTTTCAAATCTCTCTTCTCGAAGTGCTCCGATAGTTCTCTCTCCTTTTCTTCTCCTCTGTCAAATGAGTCTTGAGTTAAAGCCACCCCAAAGATTTCACCTCCGTATTAAATGCATTTATTGGAGCGGGCATGCTCTGCCTCCAGTAACTCTAATGGTATTTGCACTCCTATTCATCCTGGCGGTCTGCCACAATTCAGTTGACTTTCATTCATCAAAAGGCCGTCTGCACAGGCTCCACAAACTGAGAAATGCGTCTCCATTGTGACCCAAATATTATAATACCAGGTGCTCTTCCAACATTTTATTACACTTGAACCGACCGGCAATGTTTCTCAGAGATGATTTTATTATGGAGAGAAATTCCAGAGCTGCCAGAAGAAGAGCGTTCAGGCTCGCGCGGTTGGATCTTTGTAAAATAAACCGATAAAAGGCTCAGTTTTTTTCCCCTCCTGTGTGCATGCTCACCATCAACAAAAGCCTGAACATGTAAATGGAGAGCATATTGATTTTCATCCTCTGCCTGCTAATGATGAGGATGAAAAAACATTATTAGTGTGAAGAGTGGGGGTGTTTAGGAAAAAAGCTATTAGTCGTCCCCTTTGACCTCCATCACCAATCGATGTTTTCAATTTGCGCGTCGATTAAAGCGATTGCACTTAATGTGAGGACTCAACAAAATCCCACAGGGGCTACATTAAAAATGCTAAACAATGTAGATATCTCAAGCACCCTGACTGGACCTGGTCCAGATATAATATTGTACCCTCGCAGCAATTAAAGGGATCACTGGGAGGGTGGTGACGACGAGGAAATGAACTCAGGATCAATCTGAGCTCTTATCAGGATATAAGTGAGTCTGCCGGGGTTCAAGGAGACTCCAGGAATCCAGTTGGCATGTGCCGAACTGTCTCACAAGACTTCTCAGCCGATGATGCTTCATCAATATGAACCAAAAATCGACGGGGAATCATCCCAGTCCTTCCTGCCATTTGCTGCTGAGTCTCATAGCAGGTATGTGATGAGTGAAGTGTCAAGGATTTGTTTGGAGCTCCCTGAAATTTGGCTGGACTCATCCCAAAATGACAATCCTTGGTTGGCTGTTTGCTGGTGCAGAATCAGAGCTTTTGTTTAAACCGAGTATCTGGGCTGTGCTGCAAAAACCTGAAAGAAACTTTTTTGGCATTTTCTTGTAGCACAACTAATTTGATTTTCTGGACATATGTCTTCTTTTGAGTCCTGAATATAAACTTGTAAATGCATAGGAACTAAACTGAGTGTGTCGCCTTGATGCAGTGATCTCTAAACTGGGGGATGGGCAGGGTGGGCTCTCGTCATGATGACTATGGGTTGCGGTAAGGCTTCATAAAAACATAGTTCTTTACGCTCACCTGTAGCAAACTGTGGAAAATTTTGTGAAATGACTGCGAGGTAAACTAGAGAGTGGAAATTATGAAGTGTGTAACTTTGCCCTTGGCATCACCTCTACCAAAAACTGTCTGCCAACTCGTTATAGAATTGGAAGTTAAAAGCCGCGGTGTTACTTTTAGTTGCTGCTTTAGTAAGAGTGGCTCTCGTTTCAGGCCTATTGCAAACACAAGAGGTTAAATATTGTATTTTTTGCTGAAACTATTCCAGACAATTGTAAAAATAGATGGATTAGTTGGCAAATGACTTTTGTTGTATTTTACTGTATATGTACTTTAAATACATTTCTATATTGTGTCTGTCCAAAAAAAAACACGTATATCCAAAATCTTTATTTTCAGGAACATTAGGAACACGGGGGCAACAGCTTCAGGAGGAAGGCCCAGACGGCCCTCACCCCAGACACTTCCACCAGCTCCTCCGGGGAGATTCCCAGGAAGGAGCTGGTGGAGCTTGTGAAATTAATCCCAGGTGAGAGAGGTAATCCCTCCACCTGGTCCTGGGCCGGCCACAAGGTCTCCTCCCGGTGGGACATGTCTGGAACACCTCTAACGGGAGGTGTCCAGAAGGCGTCCTAACCAGATGCCCGAGCCACCTCAGCTGACTCCTCTCGAGTGTCCGAGCTCCTTACCCTATCTCTCAGGCTGAGCCCGGCCACCTTGCGAAGGGAAACCCATTTGGGCTATCGTAACCACGATCTCGTTCTTTCGGTCATTACCCAAAGTTCATGACCATAGGTGAGGATCGGCATGTAGATCAACCAGTAAATCGAGAGTCTCGCCTTGCGGCTCAGCTCTTTCTCCACCACGACAGATCGGTTAAGCGTCCACATCACTGCTGACGCCGCTCTGATCCGCCTGTCGATCTCCCGCTCCATCCTACCCTCACTGGGGACGTCCTACATGCTTCTGAATATACTATTGGGGCATGTATAGTGTCTGTTAAAGGCCTTTTTATTGCAATATTGATCATTTCTTATGTATTAGCATATCAGGGGTAATTCAGGGCACTGTGGTCTAATCTGTTTTTACCCTCTCAGTGTGGTTCACATTCCCAGCATGCATCTGTCCTAAATCATTAATGGCGGAGTTCCTCCTTTGATCAGCTGCACCAGACAATAAGCATTAAATTTTAATCTTAAACACACACACTCGCATTGATTAGCAGGAGTTCCTTTTTCAGTCGACTGAGTTTCAATTTCTTTGACAGTTTTAATCATAACACCTTCTGCAGACCTGAGGGTGTCTACAGTTGTTAAGAATCTCTTAACACACCTCTCCATCTGAATCAATGTGCAGCATTGTGATGTAAATTACCGTTTGGGCTTCAGGTTTTCGGCTGAGTGATTGAGAGTTCAGGCGGCCTGAATTATGCGTCAGGGTCTTTCTAATGGTAGCTCATAATTTCACAGATCAATGAGCATTATCTATAGCAGTAAAAAAAAAAAAAGGGGAAAAAAGGTGAATTTGTAATAGGGCCAAACTCAATATTCCCCTCCCATTGTTCAGCAAGGACACAGGCTTTTGAATCCCACTGAGCTGCCAAGTATCATCTTTGAAAGACAGGATACCTCAAAGTGTTGCGACTGAAACCACTTGACTGATATTTTTCTGAATTAGGATTTCGCCTCGCTTCATTTATGAGACACTTAACGTGCAGCATCGTCTGAATAATCAAACCACTGCCTTTTAGTTGGGCTAACAAAGCGCTTTGGGGTTTCATGGAGTGTAAGTCAAGGTCAGGTGTACTCTACTTTGAATGCAGAAAGGAGGGATGTAGGGTTTGTGATATGATTTGATATTTGGTGGAAACACTCGTCTGTTCTTGGGTTGTCTTTGTTGCTACAAATTAGTGTTGTGTCATTCATGAACATTTCGTTTAAAAGAATGAACTCTGAGACCTGTTTCGTTCCTTTCTCAGTTCAGTTATGCTCAGCTGTGAGCCTGGCGTGCTGGTCGGGAGTGGAACTGCCGCCTTTGACTCTTTGGCGAACAACGCACAGCCAGTCAGCGAGCGAGCAGGTGGGCGGAGTCTCATGATTCACTCACAGCAAATGAACGATATGTATCAGTCAGTCAGTGAACAAAATGTATCAGTCAAACTGTGAACGAAACAAACTACTTCCAAACGACGTTCAATGAACGAACTCGCCGCTGTGTCACTCACTGGTGTACTGCACCGGCTCCGAAGCACTGACTGATTCAGTGAACGAATCTTTTGAACGAATCGTTTTAATGAACAGATTCTAAAGATTCAGTACAGTCAAAAGAACTCTTCTTCCCATCACTACTCCAGATCAACTATTGTTTGCTTTCAAAGCTTTAGCGGGAAGTCTCTTGGCTTAGCTTCAGTATGTGCGTATTGTTCTGTCATGATATGTTTTGTTAATTCAGTTTTCTCCACGTGTCGTTTATTTTAGTGCTTTTTTTGTTTCTGTTCCCCTGTAGTCTTGTCTTGTGAGTTTTCAGTTTGTGTTTGACCTTGTTTCCCTCATGTTTTCAGTGTTTCATTCTTTATATCAGTTTTCAGTGATTCCTTGTGTTTCTAGTCTGATTTTTCTTCCCTCATTTTCCCTCCTCCGTTAATCACCCATGAGTTTCACCTGTGTCTCGTCTGCCTCACCTGTTGCTCGTTTCCCTATATAGTCTCTGTCTTCCCCTCTGTTTTTGTTAATTCATCGTGTATTTTTTTCGGTGTGTGCGTATGACTGTGTCCCCATTTTCTCCTTGTGATTTAGCTCCAGTGATTTTTTGTGGATTTTGCCCTTTTGATTTATTTTGTTCTTTTTTAATGAATCTTTTTTTGTTTGTTCTGCATTTAAGGTCCTTTCTCTTTTTGTTTAACTCCAGACCATGACAGAATCAACCGATACTTTGCTTGTCCTGTGCACATGCGCCACGCGAAACGCTGATTCATGAGATCCCAATGCAACACCAATCCTGTGCAAATGGTGCCTGTAAGGTTAATTGGCTTTCACATGCTGCCATGTTAAGGCGGGATAGTCGTCACGCCTTGTCTGTAAATGTGTTATGCGAGTTGGAGGTAAAGTTGTTCCAGCTCTCAGTGTGTTTGCACAGTATGTGTGTGTTTACAAGACGTGCCCTTTGAGCTTCTGTAACACCTGAATTCGATGCGAGAGCACACGCAATGTGAGAATACAAAGTGTAGTGATGGCAAAACTTTGGTTCGGTGCTGCTGGTGCATCCCTTAGCAACGGATATAAGTGATCAGTCTAATGTTATCTCAGAAACCTCTGTCTGTCATCCGGTGACTGAATATCCTCAGGAAGGTTTCAGGTGTAACTCATCTCTTATTTCTTTGTTTTCCTGCAAATAACTGAAAAGTTAGTAGCCGATGAAAATATCACAGACCACTGCGAGCACCAGAAGTCTCAGCATGTCCACAGTCTCTGGATTTTGGGATGCAGACTCTGTCAAAGATGAATGCATTTTGCAAAAACAAAACTCTTTAAAGTGTACAGCTTGTACTCTCCAAACTTTGCAGATCTTGCGTTAAAGAAATTCCCACGATTCCCTCCTGTGTTTTGGACTTTCCTCTTTGACCTCGTCTGTTTTCTGCAGCTTTTTCTAAACTATTTTTTACTTACTTCGCACTCCACTGTGTTGGCCTTACATCTGTTTTTTCCTCTTTACAATTCGACCCCATTGGCTCCTCTTCTTTACTCCTCTGTTTCATGGCGATAACATACAGACGACTGTAAAAAACACGGTAATAGTGATAATTTATTCAAGGGATATAAATCATTGTAATGCTCCAGTTCATCACACAACCAGGTTTATATCAAAAACACTAAAAGAGACTGATTTTTGTTTTTAGTGTAGCACAGGAGAGTAAAAGTAACAAGGCGAGAGATTGATTATGTAGCAAACCTGCGATTCCTGCTATTAAAACTCGAGAGGACGGATACGACTTCCCTCTCGTGGAATCTGTAAACTCAGCGAAACATTTTAACTGGCCGAAAAGGTGTCAGGATCCACCCTCGAATAATTAACGTGTTTTCCTCACAGACTCAAAGCAGCTCTCCGTTTCTCATAAAGAGTCTAAAGAGCATGAAATTCAAACACAGGTAATGGAAGCCCGACTCTATAATTACGCTCTTGTCTCATGCAGAGGTGCCTTCGCTCTTCGCTTTGGGCCGTCTCTGATCCGACTGAAGCGTCCAGGATGAGAAATAGAGCAGAGTTTTGTGTTATGAATGCAATTTGCGGCTGATGAGTGCATCCTCAGATACTTGCCCAAAAGAAATGAACCAATTAAGCCATTATGATCTGCACAGGGCAGATAAATAGAGTCCTGCTGGGGAGACAGGGAAAAAAAAGAAAACGGCACTTTTTCTTCAAGATATGTTTACTGGAACCTGCAGGGGTACGCATGCATAATCTGGCTGTAATTCAATTATAATGTCACCTCAAAGTATTCTGGGCTGTTTATTTGTACTAGAGGATGTTGCGTGTTAAACGGAGCGGCTCAATGAGCAGAAATCTGGAACCGCACTAACTAAGTCGAGCTAAAAAACATTTATTGATTTGAGTCCGTGCCGCAAATTCAGATTTATAGTCATACTTGGGCTAACAGAGGGCCTTGAATGATAATCCATCACCGCTGGCATGTGGCATTGATGGCCTGAGAATGGGAGGCGGTTTTATGGAGGCATTATGAGCAGGCTGTCTGAGCGTTTTTAAAGCCGCATCACTCAGAGTGTCAAACAAAAGCGGTCCGCATGTATTCACTCAGAGGATTCCTCTTCTAAACACGGGCCGACAAAGTGCCCCGGGCTTTGACCAGTTGATGTACAGTCGGCCAGTGAGTGCTCAGACGTAAACATTTCTGTTATCTTTCTGTGTCTGAACCCAAAGCTGCTCTTGTTAGCAAGAAAATCCCAAAGATGTCGGCGCAGAGATGAGAGATGCATTAACTCGTCTGAACTCTCAGATGAAAATGAGTCTGCCGGTATATTTATCCACGTCTTTAAAAGCTTCACACCTCAAGAACCTTTAGCCGAGAGGTTTTATAACTCCATGTAGTTTTGTCAGAGAAGCATTAACATAAATAGAAAAGAAGTATGGTATTTTCATAACCATTGACTGCATAATACTGGACATCACCCATTTATTTCAATTGGTAATGCCGACTTAACCAAACTTTAAGTTGTGCAGACCAGAGGCGGGACTTATGCTGCGTTCCAGTTACCTCATAAGTCGGATGTCAGCAAATGGCTACAGCGTGCCTGCCTGTCAGTCAAGTCAGCTGGGCCTCTGATTCGCTAATCTCTTAACTTGAATCACTACAGTTTGTGCCATGGCAGCCCTGAGCCATTTAGACAACAAACTATTTTTTTTTCAACCTGGCCCTAAAAATGTGCTTTTTTATTTTCTTGGCTTAGTTTGTATGTGGTTTCCAGCACTTCTGCAAGCAGCCTCAAGTGGACAGTTGGGGTACTGCAGATTTCCCCTGCTTCATTTCAAACATAGAAGATGTTTTGTCCACTAGCGTGCAAAATATGGGCATTTAAAAACTAAAAGATGGTCTCACTTTATTGAGATGAACTTGTAAAAACTTGTGCACTCAGATTGTTCAGTAAGACTTTGCACCAAACACAAATCAACACAATTTCAAGGAAGAAATTCACATTTCAGATCTCGCTTGTAAAGCTTGAGTTCAAATATGCATTCGGTTTGTAAACAGGGAAATACAGACAATCACATGCCTCTACAACTCCATGCACTAAGTAAGAAACAGCATGTACATTACCTTAGATAAACAACACAACATCAGGGTAATGTCAGGAGAGATGGAGGCCTGAGCTTTTAGCAGCAGAAATCAATAAGCTCTGCTCCAATGAAAGGTTGTATTATTTATATATTCAGATCAACTCTTTACAAAGTGCCAGGTATTGTGGGATTGTGGTGGACGTCTGCACAACTCTGCTGGCTTGAAACCCTGTGATCACGCCTACACCGCCTCTAAAACTGCTCCAGTAATTGCGGGGAGGCTATTGTTATTTTAGCAGCAGAAATAATTATGTTTACAGACGGATGCTGGAAATCGGAGACTTGAGAGATGCGCCGGGTCAGACTGGAAATAGGAATTCTGCATTTGTTTAAGAGCCAAGGGCTTTTCGGCACAAATACCATTGTGTGCTGAGCTTTATCTCCAACAAAACTTCAACTGCTGCTTCTCTGCACTTTATAACGAGGTCTAATTTAACGATTTGGCATTATCACAGATTTTGCACCTCGAACCCTTCAAACATAAACATTGTTTTCTCCTCTGCAAACAAAGCAGGCGAAGTCTGTTTCTGATCCAGCTCAGAAAGACATCTGTTGGATTGTTTCTCGCTCGCAAACAAATTAAGGAGGGAGACAAGAAAGAGGAAGGCAGGAGTATCTGTTACATTTTGAAGTTTTTTTTCCGGGCGTCTGGTGAAACTTTAAGACAAGGAAATGATATCAGAGAAAACTCATCAACACAGCCTTGGAGGACGGGTCAAATGGGAATTATCGCTCAAAGCAAAGAGTGCAAATTTAATTGATGTTCTTGTAATCATGTGAACGAGAGAGATAAGTTTAGCCTCATCAACATGAGCAGAAAAATTGAATCTCAAGTGTCTTTTCTTTAACAACAAACTTCAATACAAAGCTCCTACTTGAACTTTGCATCATCTGTATAAGAAAACACACATACACATTCAGACACACACACACACACACAGCTGGTAAAAATATATGGGTTCCAGTCTTATGAGAACTATAAAACCGAGTTATTAGAGGGGCATCCTCGTCCTCACTGAGAGAATTTACAGCCGGGATGGGTATACTGCCCATAACTCTGTATATTATCTTACTTTTCATGGTATAATATAAACATCCGCAAAATAGAGTTTGACTTGTGGATGGTCAAGAGTGTCTTCCTCCGCCAAAACACTGAACAACAGACCTTTGCGATGCGCTCGGCATCACAAGCAGCCGTAGAGACAGGGAGAAGCACTCATCCTTCATAATTTCTCGGGCCGGGCCCTGCCAGGTATTTAGAAAGCTTATTCCCCGCTGAGTTGCCCTGCAATTTAATCCGGAGGCTCAGTCAAGCAAGACCGATGAATCTTGTCATCTTCTGAGAGGAGAGCGAGTCGACTGATCTGAACTCTTGAGCTAATGTATTAGATAGTGAGAAAGAAGGGGGGAAAAAAACTCAATTTAGTTCCTTTTAGAGTGGATTAAGGGAAGGAGACATGTCTCCAGAGCATCGTCTGTGTAAGTGATTTCCAGAAATCAATTATTCAGGACCTTGTCAGCTGTCAGGGCGCTTACTGCTGTTATTAACACATTTCAGGGCAGTCAAGTATCAATTTATGTCCAAATGTCTTGTCTCTTGAACATTCAAACCTGAGCAATTAAAGTTCGTCATGCGTGGATATTTAATGTTTGTCATATTGACACTTAGGGTCAGGCGTTGCGTCCTGTTATGACCTTTTTTGGATTATGTAAAGACTTTTATTTGTTGGTTTATCTTTACTTTTACTCTTTTACGTTGCTCTCCTCAAACAAACTCTGGTCCCGGTGCTCTCTGACTCTCCTGGTGTTATTCCCAAGACATCAGAGTGAAGCTTAAAACATACATAGGGTGACTATATGTCCTCTTTTACCCGGACATGTCCTCTTTTTTGGAGGCTGTCCAGCCTTGTTCAGCTTTGTCCGGGAGAGTTTATAAAATCCTTGAAATGTCTGGAAATTTTGAGTTTGTGTTATGTGGACTTACTGAGTTAGAAGCACGTGAAAAACACTCGATCCGACCCGAAAAACTCTTAAAATTAACTACACGCAACTCCGTGACTCCGCCCCTGTGTAGTCGTGTCCTCTTTTTGGGGATTCAGAATAAACATACAGGATCCATATTGAGCGTTTTCCTTCAGCATCACGAATTACGCAGCAAATAGACGGGTTTCTGTGCAACGTCATCGCAGGTATGCACGTGCAGCCAGGGGGCAGAAAGAGGGACATTTCTTAATTGTTTATCAGTGGAGTCAATGGAGAGGGAAAATGACAAGAAGCTGGAAATCGTCGTAAACATTTTTACTTTGACTTTGTTGGCATTCAGTAACATTACGACTCTGCTCCTGATATTAGAAACATCCAAGACAATGTCACTACCTGGTAAGCTGAGTGAAATTCATTCACATTTCAGCGTTTTTTTTTTTTTATTTGTGATGCAATAAAAGACAAAGCAATACGTCATCTTCATTGATATGAGTTCACTCCAGGCTTTTGTCCCTTGGTTGCGCGCGCAACTAGTATTGTTTGTACACAAGAGACCCGTCTGTTGGTTCCCATTCCAATTAATGCAGCATCGCACAGAGGAACCATTGCAGCTCCATCTCAGCATGTCGGGCGCGGCTTTGCTAAAAATACCTGCCAAGTCTGTTTCCTCTGCTCTACACTTCCAACACGCGTCAATCTACACAGGGAAGATCGTTTCTAGACAGGATGTCAAGCATGGAAAACGCGCATATCATCCGGTAAATTTCAAAATAAAACACCATATGCAGACTCCCGACTGTGTATCAGTTCTTGTAGATGAGAAATACTTACTACTCAATACTTACTACTACTAATACTACTACTTAATACAGTAGAGGCTCGACGGTTACTGAATAATATCCATATAACAGGAAATAGACCACAGACCTCACTCCAAACACGCATCCTGAGGGCGATAGACAGCGCTGCTCGAGGGAACAGAGACGTGACGCTGATGGACGCGCTTAACACGGATCCTGTATGTTTTTGGCTTGACATGAACGAGTGTAAAGTAAAGGAAACTCTTGCTTTTCCTTTCTTGGGACTTACAGTTACAATCTGAGTCTGTGTGTGGTGTAATAAAGCACTTGTGGTTTGATAATGCACAACTAGACGATGAAACTACAATTTAGCTCCTTTCGCAGCTGCCAGCGGCTCCACTCTCCTTGGATACTGACAATTTCAAGAACTGTTTTCCTCATCATGTAAAAATAGGGCCCAGGATGAAAAAAAAACTAAAGCTCGCAAACTTTTGTTCCCCGAACTCGAGTGCATCCGTGAATTATGAAAATCAATCCGAGA